GTACTGTGGTTTCCCCCCACAGTCCAGAGACTTAATGGAAGGCCATTTGGCTTCAGAGAAAATTGCAACAGGTGTGGGTGTGTGTTTGTGTTTGCGTCCAACCCAGGGTGTATCCCGCCTTGCGCCCATGGTTTGCTGGGATAGGCTCCGGCTCCCACACGACCCTGTTTTGGATAAAATGGTTTGATGATGGATGGATAACTTTCCGGAGCTTCAGTTTGTGACTTACAGTATGTAACCCTTTTTAAAGTGGAGCGCACCTTTTCAGAATGTGCCAGTGCTCGTCTGTCTGTGGTGGTGTTGGAGATTATCTTCGCTAAGATTTTGCTCAATATGATTTGTCAGTTTAGAATTTGAATGGATAGTGTTTGTCTCAGCTACATGGGTGTTTTTTTTTTCATTATGTGAACAGTTAATTTAACCAAGTTCTGAAAAATGTGAATCTTAGCTTTTGCACCCAACCTTCTGATAGTCTCTTGAGCCCTAATCTCTTGGAAATGTGTTTAATTCAGCAGCCTTGAAGTCATATTTAACCAACATTTCATACTGCTTCAAGTCTCTTTGTATTATTCTGTTGTATTGCTCTAGTTTGATGTTTTAAAATAAAGATGTCTTGTGATTTGCCAGTTTATCATAAGCGCTTTATGTTAAGGCAATGAAGAATAAAATACATAAAGTTTTGAAATCCTTTTCTGATGTTCAAGCCTGAGATTTGGGTTCAAGTGTTCATTTTTTCTGAGATCTAAAAAAATTGAGCTCATATTTTATAAAGCATAATTTTCAAACTATGTAATCAAGGTGAAGATTTCAAAATGTATTCAGACCTGGTATTCTAAGGAATGTATTCATATACTACTGTATATTGTAGTTGTCTGTCAAGTAACTGTAGGATTTATTGATTAATTAAAAAAAATATTAAATTAAATTGAATTTAAAGTGCTTTTAGGATTAGGATGCATTAGATATCCAAAATATTCAACAATTAATTTGGTGAGAGCAATGAAGGGTGCACATTATTTTAACACTTTTAATTACACTTAATAACACTTCATGTTTTCAGAGGGTCCATGAACTGAGTTTTTAGATGACCTTTGCACAATTGAAAATGGCAGTTTCTAAATACTCGGAAGTGGCTCTGCCGGTAGATGCCAACTCAGGACTCGCCATGTTAGGCACCACTTTGTGCTCTTCTTTGATGGTGTGCACTGTAATCTGTTGGTGTTTTGTGCAAAAACCTATGATTATTATTATTTTGAGATATTGTCCACAGTTAAACTAGTTAATTGAAATATCAGAATTGTATTTTTAAAGCAAGTTGATAATTAAATGTCTAAAAGGCTGTATTGTCACTGATATGGAGAAGTGATCCTACACACTGTGGTAAGGCTTGTTACATTATAACCTACATCTCCATGCAGATGCAGAAGCCCTAATGGTCTGTGTTTCAGTCAACCTGTATGTGGAAGGTAATAAGAATAGAATAGTACAAGGTATTACTTAATGCAGTTTTTTTTTTTAGTTTCCATCCTTCTTTAAAGAAGGAATGCATGTATGTGTGAGACCTCTCAGTCAGAAATGATTCAGGTGACTTATTGCGCGCCTCATCTTGAGGCGAGCACTTGAGTAAGCCCTGTTTTTGTTACCTAGTTGCAGTGAAAGACAATTACGCTTTATTGCACCTCATTAGCATTGTAACCTGAATCTGAGCTGGTCCTGTTACCTGGCCCCTGGGTGGAGAACTGCTTCTAGCCTGCTTGAGGGAGATAACATCCCTTTCACAGCTCTGTTAACATTCTGCACCGTGGGTTCTGGGGGGGGAAAAAAATCCCTAACTTTGATTTATGTTAGAAAAGCAGTCGGCTACCTACAAATGTATTTGACTGACACTTTTCTCCAAAGCGTCTTACATTTGCGCCCTTTTGCATGGCTTAGTGTTTCAATGGAGTGATTCGAGTGATGTATCCAGCTCAGGGTGACAACAGCAGTGGCTCACTGAGGGATTAGAACACAACCTCTCCCTGTTACAAGTCTGGAACCTTGTGCAGTGTTTCACAGTGCTACCTGCTGTGAACAACAAAAATATCTGTTGTCTGCAGTTTTGCACTTTTCCATATTCCAGTGGTCTTTTTTCTACATGTGTATTAAGTAATTTTAGTCTGAGGCACCACATTCAAGCAAGGAAAATATTTTACCTTGTTTGGATTCAACTGTAGTATAAATCTTAAAGTAGGGGTTGTATTCTCTTGAGTTCCCCTGCAATTCTTGCTCATTAGGAACAAGGCACACATGTACTGTACACACATCTGAAAAAGATACAGTGATTAATTACTGTACAAGGGGGTCAGTGCAAGGCCTTTTTTGCACACAAATTTGGCGGGTCTGCATGTTCAAACAGGGGTTGTTTATCTTTTCATGAAATTCCACAGGATTATTCAGTGAGTGGGCCTGATTAGTGCACTGTTTAAACCCACCTGGTCATAGACTCATATCTGCATACTCCACATTTTTGGAGCTTCTGATTACCTCAAGAGTAAACAACCAGGAATGTTTGACAGGCATTCATGGATGAGCAAGCTTTTTTTTTTTAGCATTTCTAATGAAGATTGATGGAAGCTATGCCTGCCCTGTTTTGTTCTGGTTCTATCTGCTGGAAATGCACAGCAAATAATTAATACAGTGAAGAGCCCTTTGCTGTCCTTTTCAGATTAAACGATAATGGAGAAAGTACAGTATGAACTGCTGTCAGGCCCTTGTCCCCATTGAGCCAGGCCTTCTGCTTGCAATGACAAGCCACCATATTGTGGCGGTGCTTAAGGACTGTTTACGCGCGCTAGTTAGAAAAGACCTGGGATGTTGGTCTTTTCTTTACAAGAGGTCTATTGCTTGGCAACCAAACTCTTGAGCATCCAGAGAGTTTTGAGAGAAGTAACAGTAAGCAAAGTGATATTGTCCAGTAATGGGCTTCCTTAAAAATTTGGTGGTTAACAGACTGTTCTCTGTTTACAGTGTTCCTAGTTAAAGTATTGCTTTTCCTCAAGCTTCATTAAAAAGAAACATGAAAGGCAGTGTGAGAAAGAAAGCACAAGCAAGTTTGGTTAACATCCTGTCAGGCCTCTAAAGTGTCTAGATTTGCTTTTGCAACTCTGTAAGCAGTTAAAGAAAAGGGAATTCAGAACTTCAAAGCCTGCAGTCTGTATTTTAATCTTCTTGTGGTGGTGTGTGTGTATAAGACCTGCTTTTTTTTTATTTTGGGGTTTGCACTGCTTGCCATGGGCAGTTTGCTGTAGACAGCAGTCTGACTAACAGGTAGCTGCTCATTCTCTGCATCACGCTCGACACTGCTTTCTTTACACTGTGAGCTTTCTCTCACACCGTGCTGAAGTTCAGGGGATTTTTCACCTGCAATTCACAATTGCAAAATCCCCAAGCAAATAATAATGATGGTTAAAGACCAGCATTTAAAAAAATGAAGAAAATAGTTCTAATATAGATTCTTGCCTTAATTAAGTACAGACAGTAGTATCAAAACGTGTGTGAAAAATAATAATGAGTGAAACCATTTGCAGTTCCTTTTGTTTCTGTATATTTGTTCATTAGTGCTCCCCTAGAGCAAGTACAGTCTTGTTTTTTATTGTGACCGGGCATGATTCATTCTTGTTTTTCTGACATGAAAAAGGGTACTTTCACTCCATCAGTCAGATGTAAAACTCTTGAAGGGGGTTTACAGTAGACTGCCGTGTGCCCAGGAAAAAGAAACTTAAAAAAAGTGCAAAGTACAAAGAGAAATAGTAATTGGATTGAACAGCAGTTCATAATGCAGTTGACTCTAATGTGGTTTTATTTGCTGACTTTGGCGTCTTTTGAATTAATCCGAAACAGTGAAAAGAGCACTGGTGTTTGGCCATCCACGGCTGATTCTGTGAAGGTTCCAGGTGAACATATCAGTAGGGAGTGGTTATTCATTTAGCATGTGTGGATGTATGTGCTGTGACAGGGGAGAGGCTGGGGCGAGGGGGTGGGTTTGATGCTGCAGTGGCCTCTGTGCAATGATTATGTACACGGTAATGTACCTTTCTGCTTTGTTGAGGATTGTTCACACATTCAACCTGCCACTTTATAGCCTGAGCAGCAACGGCAGAAATATCACTTCAATATTCGCGTTCAATTTCAGCTTACCCAGAGCACCTCTGTGGGCTGTGCGGCTGAAAGCTGAAAGCAGCCTGAAGAGCACGCGAAAATTTGAAGCGATCTCATAGTGGCTGTGATTCAGCATTTGTTGGGTTTTTTTTTATGTTCCTGTGTTTCAGTGTTGAGTCCTACAACTTTTATGTGTCTTTTGAACCAAGAAAACTAAAATGTTCATTTCTAGCATAGCTCCTGCTTTGGTCTTCCCAAGAGCTTGGCGGCTGCTTTTTGTGTGTTATTCATATTAATAATGTCTTTGACTGACACTTTTATCCACAGCAACTTGAATTTGTAACCTGGGTGTCTTCTCGAAGCAATAAGAGTGAAGTTCCCTGGTCAAGCAGTGTTTCCAGCCACACATTTGACCCCACAAACGTCCAGTTGAGAGTCCAGAGCTCTCACCACTTCTCCACACTGCTGCCAATGCAACAGCCCTTATTCCTTCCCAACGTTTGTTCTTCAGACGGACGAAATAAGTCGCAGTAGCTCATGAACGTTCCACGTCATAATGACACTTTCCACGTAAGGGATGACTTGTAACTCTAGAAGGAGAATGTTCTGATCTGTAACCAGGAGAATATAATGTAGAGAAACAAGTAAAGATTTATTCCATACTGAGAGGAAAAGAAAAGCAACGTTTTGGCTGTCTAGCTGCGGGTGTCTAAACCTTTATTTGTTCCTTTGCAGCATACGCATGCTGACGCAGCTGCCTACTTGAACTGCTGTAATATAAGATGTACATAGCATGTGGAGAGCTCAGTATTGCATCCTGACAGCCGGCTTCTGTTGTGTCGTTGTGTCTCCTGGGACTCCAGAGCCAATTGTGAGGAATGGCCGGCCGCCCACGTCGCACAGCATGCACTCCTTCCTGCACCAGTACACCGGCTCCTTCAAGAAGCCGCCCCTGCGCCGGCCGCACAGCGTCATCGGCGGCAGCCTCAGCTCCTTCATGGCCATGCCCAGGAACGGCAGCAGGCTAGGTGAGTCCCCGCCTCTCCGCTGGCCTCCAGACCCCAGACCGGCGCAAGCAGGTCTCCTTCCTGCGCACCTGCGCAACGATCCCAAGCGATTTACACTCAGTTTACTAATGAATAACCTCCAGTGCATCATTCCCCCCCCTAATTTCACTTGTAATCATATCAAGTCTGTGTCCTCTATGTCGAAAATTGCTGATATTATTTGCTTGGGAAGCACCTTAGTGACCACTGTGTTTTCAAAGGGTTAGGAAGGGAAAATCTGTAGCAGCCTGAGGTTCTGACCCTGTCACTTTCTTTGAACATTCCTGATATTTATTGCAGGACTTGGAATGTCCATGTTTTGACATCCCTAGCCGTGTTTCCCAGTATAATGTCCATTTTCTGGTGATGTTGAAACATGTCACATGCTTTATTATTTAAAGCCCCGAGAATCTCTCCGCTCGGTGAGAATTAAAGAAGCACGTCATGAAAATTCATTATCCCCTGTTCTGCATGTACATATTCTTTTGGAACACGGTTAAGGACATCTGTGCACATTAGATGGGAATGTTCATTGCAGAAAATTGATGGCAACAGACTTTTAAATGAGAGGATTTTGTTTTTATTGGTAAAATCGCGAATGAAGAAGACGGTAAAAATGCCAGACAGAGCGCACTGCTTTTTGTGTGAAATATGTTTAGTATAAAAAATGTTCATTCACAGATATAATGCTGTTCTGACATGATGAGGTATGAAGTAAAAATGTCAAATGGTTCATTTGCAAAGAACTGCAGGTTCCTGTTTGTTTTAAAGATATGCTTTCTTGGAACAAAATGTCCTACAATACAATACAATACAATGTCCTACAATATTGACTGTAAGTCAATGTGGTTTATTTTGACCCTGCCTCTCTTGGACCATTGGGTGAGTCTCAGATCTGCTACTGTGGTCTTTGACAACATACAGAACTGCAGTCAGGACAGATATAAATATATTAGTGTCTGCTGCATTCTTCCTTGAAGTCCTGTCTTGAATATTGGAGAGCTTGAAGTCTTTTATAGCAGCTTGAATTCACATCAAAAGTTCCGAATTATAAAACAAACAACATCTGAGTGATTCCCGTTTTTCACTGGACAGTAGTCTATACATGATGAAATATCTGTTTCTATGCATAGAGTGTGTACTGATCACACTGAAAATGGATTCTGTACTTGACGATTGAAGAACAGTCCAGAATGGGGGGAGATGCTATCCACTTGTTCATTAAGGTGTTATTGAATGAATGTGGAAATAGTTCAGGTAGTAATCTGTCATCAGTCAATAACAGAACAAGCAATAGATCCATTCCATTCATTAGGGTTTTGGTGCAGTCGTGGAAATCCTTATGCAATTTATGGGATTTGGAAATAGTGATTTCCCATTTCGAGTGCGTCATGGAAATTGGTTTAATTAAAACTTGTAAAAGCACGACAATGTGAAGTGATTTTAACTTTAGCAGGACTATAGTCATAGGAAGTGAGGGGCAGGAAAATCATATTGGTTATAGTACTTGAATAGCAACATCTGAGGTTTTTTCATGCATTTATGTGATTTGAGGTTTAGTCTTTAGATTATCCATTACAGTCAGCTTTGTGTGAATGGATTGAAAATGGATGTTTTATAATACATAGTACCTAAGCCAAAACTCCAGGACAGGTTATAAGGCAATTGAGAATAATTAAAGAAAACAAACTTCCTAAAAACTCATCTGAGCATGATAAGGGGGGAAGAGGTCACCAGACTCAGTTTTTAAACAATGCCAAGCCTGAGCATACGTCTCGTTGCTTAGTTCTTCGAGTCTGCAAGGTCTCTTTGGATTTAATAAAGCCTATGCTAGTTATTTATAATATACATTATTGTAATATTAGTAAGCTTAAGTAACAGGCATGATGTAACATGTTATTACTCACTGTTACTGCTGCTGTTATTTGATCCCTTTGCATCTAGACTGGATGCACTTGTGAGTTCTTGGGATGAAAGCATCTGCAAATTGAAAACATGTAAATTGATTAATTATATTTGAATAAATGAATGACATTTTTGTCCTGAAGGGTGCCAAAATCCTACATACAGGAAGAGACCCCTTTCACCCTCTACTGAAGAGCAGCCCCCTTGTGGGGTAACTCGCGACAGCCATTGTGCACAAGGAGCGCCACTGCACAGCAGGGCATGTGGAGAAGTGAGAAGCTGCTTCACCAGTTGGAGGCCAGATCATACAAGCCCAGAATGGAATTTATCCTTTTATTCAAGACTCCTGCTCTTCTTAACATTACCAGAGGATCTTGAATTACCGCCTAGTAATGAGGACCTTGGTGTAACACCTAATCCGAAAGGTGACATGTCCTACAGTTCAGTGTCCACTGTCACCATATAGGACCTTTGATGTGGAAAGTCTGTATAAGTTCACATAGATGAGCGCCACCTACTGGTCTACCAATGATACTAGTAGCAGTCACCTGGTTTTCCTTAAAGGTCTCCTTCCTAGTCTGCTAGATGAGGCTCAGAGGTGGTAAGGATGCTTTAATTATATGTAGCGAAGGGTATATATGAATTTAAGCAGAACAGCCTCATGGCTGTATAACAGTCTCCCCCTAATCCAGCAATGTGAAAAGTTATGTTGCATTGTTCTCTTTTACTGCGCACTAACATTGTGTGTCAAAATAGCAACTTTCTTGTGGTTCATGTAAAAAAAGATCTGTAGAATTTAATGAAAAGGTCATGTCTCTCAAAATCATAAGATCTAGCCTTCATGCTGTGTTTAACATTCGTATCGTGTGCTGTACATATAGTCCAATTCTCCATCAGCACCGGTAGTCAGCAGATGAATAGGCTGAGAAAACAGTTCATTTAGAAGCTTTTCCCACTACGTTGACTAATTTGCAGTGCTCACTCATATACAAGGCATTAAGAAAGTTGAGCATTTCTAAAACATGATTATTGTGGGTGTTTATGCTTTGTTTAAGTATAAAAACGAACTGTGGTGAACATTTATTCCAATGTCATTGAAATGCTTGAAAATTCTTTTTATTTGTTCCAAAAGAATATGAACCCGTAGAATGATATTGAGGACAGATTGTTCTTTTATTTTGATGAAAAGCATTAGTAGTTTTCATAGACACTTCAGTATTTCCTGAAATGTATCACTTCAGGTAAGGCTGCTCAAATCTGGTTGAAACCATATCCCTTTCCCGTTACAGTAATTACAGTAATTAGTTGAAATATCTATATTATGTTCCTGTGCTTCGCCGGTTTGTCGACCAAACAGCTTCCACAAAATGGACCTTTATTTTTCTGACCTGAATTTAATGAGGTCCGGATGATGGCGGAGTCACACTGCTGGCGGAGCTGAAGAGAAGTACATGTCAGCTCAGGAAAAAACAAACGCTAACAGGAGGATTGCCGTTCTGAGCTGTGATCCAGTTGAATTGTTTAATATTTGCTCAGACTAGTTAGCTAATTCTCACCCAGTGTTACAAATGAAGACTCTGGGTGTTTGGGAAATCTGAGCAAAAGAAGGGTCAGCAGGAAGCTGGACAGTCCACATCTAAAGATAATGTGACTTTGTGGCTAAAGCAGATTTTAATTGGAATGAATATTGCCAAGGTGTGTGCTTACTTGCCTGCACTCCAAGCTTAGCCTGCATGCCACTGAAGCTGGAGAACAGTAGAAAGGAGTCGCCATAGACTTCTTTGTTTATTCAAATGGAGCCACCTTGCTTTGGTACAGATTTCCATGAGCCTTTGTGTCTTTCTCATTTAAAATATATTTGTTTGAGCGACTTGCAGTACAGGGGTTACAATGTTCCATTTTCCTTTCTGCATCAACATTGTATCACTCATTTTGGGGGTTTGCATTGCTGTGCAGCGAATGACCTGCAATCTCTGCACTGCTCCACGTTTTTAGCTTTCAGTGTTGTGGGATTTTTTGGCTTTGGTGCAGCTGAGCGTGTGTAGGTGTACCAGGCCACTACAGTCAATCTCTAATCTCTGTTTGTCTGTGATCAGCGTAACGTTATATAATATCGGACGGTCTTGGAAGTGAGTGAGTGGGTAGCCAAATGAAATGTTTAACAAGCCAACTTGTAGTGCGTTCTGAAGAAACCTCTGAAGGTTCATACAAGGACCTTTACTCATTCGGGATACCTTTTTGTGCTTTGTTAAATTGATGTTCCTGAGGTGGAAGGCATTCTGGGGATGTAGATCGTGACATACAGAGGAGCTTACTCTTCAGTCTGACCTCACTGAATTCAGAGAAGAAATCTGCCAGCCAAGCATTCAAACTTGGAGCTTGTGTCCTGTCCAAGTCTGGCAAAACTAATTGCAATAAATCAAAGTTAGCGACTTGCGGAGTTCACACAAAGCGATTTAACCGTTTTTGTTTGGTTTCTGCAGTGTTTTTAGACATTCTCGGTTGTGGTGATTTAATTTTAATTTTAAAAAGGCCTGCAAAGAGTGGTCAGTGATTAGATTTAGCTTGTAATGGGTGGGATATTCACTCCTTTAAGTGCAGTATGAATGCTTTCTTTCACAAAGAAAATGGCCTTTCTGTTTCCAGCTCAATGAGGGGGATCACAAGTGCTGTTGTTTAAACATACCAGACTGCAGGGCAACAGTTATGTTACTGATGTAACGTGCCAGCAATTCGTTCACATCATCCAATAACTCCTAGAAATAATTCATTTAACAGTGAATTTCTGTCTTTAAATGAGGGTTCCCTGAAGGTGGCTTTTACTGGCATTTCACTTTGTTTTCAGACTTAAATTTACTTTTCCTACCTCATTAACAGGGGTGGCTGTAACATTTCTCTGTATAATTGGATGCTTAAATTCTTCATGTGCACCTTGAATATTTATTGTTACAAAGAAGCGCCAGACTGTCTGCCTCATTGTAAGAATCTAGCTGTCAGGTAGCACAGTGGCAGCAGTATTTGCAGGAGCCACGCTAAAGGTTATCCTTTGTCACATAGAATCCTGAAAACGTCGAATTTCAGTCACAGCCGTTCGAAGTTCCCTACCTTAATATTTTTAAAATTCAGCTGGTGTTTCCTTGGATAAAATATATTTCGAAATGAGAGTCAGAATAAGTCAGAATGCCTACTTCTCATCAACATTGAAATGTTTATTGTTTATTGTCTAAAATGTGAGGAATGTAAAGGCCTTATTGCGTGCACCTGCACGTTGTTTTTCCAGACATTAACTGTTCCTTTATCCCTTGCTTCTGTTTAGACATAGTGCATGAGAACCTGAAAATTGGTTCTGATGGAGAGAGTGACCAGGCATCTGGGACCTCCTCTGATGAGGTCCAGTCTCCTACGGGCGTGTGTTTGAGGAACAGAGTGCACCGGCGCATCTCCATGGAGGTGAGTTCCTCTTCACAGGCTGGACCACCTCACCACCTCCCTAACTTCATTAGGTATTCTATTTAAGCATCTTACATGCAGTTAGATGCAATCACATTGTTGGCAGTCATGGCTGGTCTTTAGGGCAGGTAATGTGTTTAATATAAATGCAACGGAAATCACAATTAAAGGCAGAAATCTTGTTTTTCAAGAGGCCCTCTGTCTTACGCTGTGGAAGCATCAAGAGCCGTGCATTAAGCCCCTGCCAATACTGCATATAGAGTTACTTCACTTCTCGATCTGCACAAGAGATGAGCTAACAGCAATCACTTACATCAAGTCAGCAGGTTTCTTACTATATAATTCATGAACATGTTCTCAGAAATGACCAAATCTTGCGATGAGCATAGCCTGTGTCCCTCACTCCCACATTGGAGGCCATTAAGAGGTCTGTAAGAACTCTGGATTGAACAAGAGAAAGAAGCATTTCTTTTAAAAGTTGCAGTACTTTGCTGTATGGTAGATCTTTACTGAGTTGCCCTAAGACTTAGTTCCTGCCCTTTAGGAATCTTGTTTGTTTTTTGTGCCCGATGTTCTTATCTAGCCAGTAGTACTGTAGTATTGGCTGAGGCTCACTTGCATGACGGATGTCAAATTCAAGCAGAGCCCTTCTTTACATGTCATTTAGATGCAAGTAGTATTTGGTTGATGTGTCCCTTTTGTATGCAGATGATTTTTAAAGAGAACAGGGACTAAACTACTGCTGGAGTTCTACTCATAGCATACATTTTCTACACAGTGTTTCCAATGGAATAAAGTGGCAGGATGCTTCTCAGACTTCGTTTTGTATTCAATTAGAAAAAAAGAGTTAGAAAATGTGAATATAGGGTGGAGGGGAGTCCCCATTACCTGTAAAGCGCTTTGAGTGGAGTGTCCAGAAAAGTGCTAAATAAGTTTTTAATTTTTATTATTAAAATCTGCAGGCACACTAGTTCTCCATGGCCAGACTGGGGACCCAGCTGATTAGCTGTTAGAATGACTGTTCAGTCAATAATTCAGACTTTTTTTTAAAATCAGAATTATTTCAGCAAAGTTGAAAAAAGCAGACAGTTTTGGGAGGCTTTCCTTGGAGTACTTGAGGAAGCGTGAACATGTTATCGTGACTGATTTATTTAGCGCAAGGGCTTGTGGCTGATGAACAAACCTGTTATTGCTCCAGTTTTTCTGTGCTTGGCTCATTACATTCATCTGCATTACATTTAATATGTTTCCTAATTCCATTCCATTTATTTTCTGATTTCTAATTATCCACTTCGGAGATGCAGGAGAGCCAGAGCCTATTCTGGCAAGCATGGGGCACAAGGCAGGATACACCCTGGACGGGATGCCAGTCCATCGCAGGGAACACACACTGATAGCAGGGTCAATTTTCCCAGAAGCCAAATAATCTCCCAGCATGCGTTTTGTCTCTGGGAGGAAACCGGAGCACCTTGCGCAAATGCAGGGGGACCATGCAAACTCCATGCAGATAACACCCCAGGTCTCCTAATTAACAGTGAGAATGATAACTATGTCCCGACAGTGTTAGAAACAGCTGGGGCTCTGCTTGCCACTGAAAGGGTGTCTGCACCTGTCTGCGTGGGCAGGACATTCAACAAACTCCAACATGTCCTTGCAGACTCTAAACAAGCATTCCCTTCATTTCAGTTGTTTTCATTTTAATAAAGATGTAATCGTTATTCTAATTTGCTTAAGGCAACAGTACTGAGATCATCAGGAACAATAAGCAAACGTTTGAGCATGCCTTAGACCCCAAACAATACGATTGAACATCTTAAGTGACAGGAGACTACATGGATGATAGGATAACACACAGTTGCCCTAGGAGGTATGACAAATATCCCTTCCACCAATAAATGATATCTGATAGTCTGTGTGCTTAGTTATGTGACAGCTGTCCCAAAGGTATTTGGTGGTTGTCTTGTATGGAGCCCAGGATGCCTGAACAGGATGGATTGTGTATTCAGAGCTTATGTACAGAATTTCATTGCCCGAATGCTCTGTGCAATTGTGCTAGATCTACCTTTGCTTTAGCTGTAGCCTGTTATAAATCAATTGCTTTAAAAACCCTTTTTCTTCTTTGTGAGAAGTATTAAAATTCTTAAAATAAAGTCACACGTCCACTGTTAAGACCTAGACAGCAGAGTAAAATGCTATTCATATACAGTATGTACATTGCCCTTCTCAAAGAGCAAGGCTTCAATTTACGATTTTGCAAAGCAGGATTACTGGTATCAAGACCGAGTCACACCGGTTTGGAAGGTTTTTAAAGGAAATCAGTGATTCAGAGTCCTCTAGACAGAGTGTCTTCGTGTAGTGGTTTGGAGCACCTTAAATGCCAGAAACAGTCCTTTGTTCCTCCTACAAGGTTAATAGTCTTAACAGGACTAGAACAGCTCCTCAGGAGCAGATACATCATATAAGTGCAATATAGTTCTCGTCTACTGTATAAGAACATGTCAATCGGTGAGCTCAAGGGTTTAGATTTTTTTTTTTGAGTTGGGTGAGCAAAATAACTGCATATTAACCTCACAGCTTTTTAAAACTGTTTTGCATTTGCAGGCCCTTTCTCGCATTTCCAATAAAAGCTTTGGTGCCTCCGCACCACGGACATCTCACGTGTGTTGTTGACAGTGGCCACTCTTACTTTCCTGCACGGGACTGGGCTGCACTCTTAAGCTGCATGGAGCCTGCCCGTCACATGTATGGTACAGCTCTCCCTGAACGAAGCGGCTTGGAAGATAAGCTGTACTACACATGCCACTGGGAAGCCTGTTAAAAGGGCTTTTGTTGTCTGCTCTGCTTTATATACAAAATAGTTGTTAAATGTCCATCATCTCATAAGCCATTATAGGAAAGATGCCTTAAGCCAAAGCTCTTTCATTGAAAATAAATTCACCACATTAGTTGACTAATTTCCATTTTCCCAGAAAGGTCGGCAGTTATTTGCTCTGCTACACAGCTCGGGATGTGTACGTAAAGATGCTGAGAGCCAGCGCGTCTGGTTGCATCATTGTTCAAGATGTGATGCTGGTCTTGTCCAAGTCACTCGGAATCCTTCCACACATTTGGGGTAAGAATCCAAATGTTTTCAAGCAGCAGGGTGTTTTTGTTAGATCTGCATTCAGAACTAGACCTACACGTGAAAGAGAAGATATATTTTTCCCATACAAAAAAATACAGAAAGAAGGATCGTTTCTTGAAAGAAAAACCTGTGAGATGTTATAGAACTGAAATCTCCCAGATGAACACGGAGAGCCTTAAGACGTTCTTAACGCAGATGACAAAGCTGGATTCCCATGATGTAATCGTTGTGATTCAGAGGGATTGTAGTTACAAGTTCAGCTTCCTCGCGCTTGCCTAGATAGCCGTGTCCTCTTTGCAACCCAAAAATTGAAGAATTCATTGAACAGCCTTCTTAATCCTGATTTCTGGGGGAGTAAGTTTGGGCTCTTTGCCTTATCCATCTTAGAGATGGCTGGTCCTTGGCAAAGCATTTGATGTTTCGTATGAATGGCACATTCTAATTTTATAGCACCACTGCTTCCTGCCAAAGAAAAATTAGCATTTGGACAAATCAGTGTAATCAGACAGTGTAGCACAGTCATGTACTGGAGCAGGGAAAGGGACATACTGTTTTTAGTTTTTGTGTAACGTTTATGTACTTAAATGTTTAGTTATTTAAGTTGTGATTGAGCATATGAAACAGACTGATTTTACTTAAGACTGCTTCAGCAGCCTGTAAAGATTAATTTTTTATAATGTAGTCTGAATTTAACATCTGCTTAAAATATGAGCGGACTGGATCTAAGGATCTAAACCAAAGCTTGCACTAAGACATTTCAAATATATTAGGTGAGATTTTTTTTGCAAAGTTAAAAAATTAAGTTCTGAGTATGTTCTGAGAGCAGATTGTTAAAAACTGCAAAAGGTTAAACACTTTGAAAGATTGAATTCTGTCAGTATACAGGCTGTCGTTGATTATTGTAAAATCCCTGAAATGGAAGTTGGCTGTGACAGTTTGTGTGATAAGTGTTTGGATCTGGGTTTTGATAGCCCGTTAGGACAGAAAACATATATATTTAGCCATTTGTACAATTAGGTATTTCGATAAATTGATTGACCAACCATTAAAGATTCACTGTTATAAAATTTATCAGTGAAATGCATTCGGGCCCAGGTTCTGGCTGAACATCTATTGCCCCCTTGTGGCCTTTCACGTGAACTCCGATACTGTTACTTCAGGTTATGGGCATTTGGGGAGATGAAAGAAGGCGTGTGGGGAAATTCCCTTATTTTGCAAAACTCCCTGAAAGCCTTTCAATGTTAAATCTTAATATAAAATAAGACTCAAATACTATATGACCTTTTTTTCTGAAGATACAATTCTTAAAGCCCAAAGTACAGAAATCAGTTTTAAATTTTAAAACAGGATAGCCAATATCACACTATGACTGAGATAATTTAATGTACATCAGAACAAAAAGATATGCAGCTAAGTTTATTTTACTATGAATAATATCTGACTGTAACTTAATATTTAAGTTTGTGTAGAAAGCCTTGTTCCAAGAGAAACGACTGCTTCGCATTGTTATATGAATTATAAACTGCACGTTTATCACTTTAATACACATTGTATATTAATACTGATTCCTTTAAGCCTAGTGTGGCATCAATAGGATTAATAGGTAGGTATTGTCAGGATATTGGGTAGGATTATTATGAGGTTGTCAGGTACAGATTAAAGTAGAGTACATTACCTGGCTAAATGAAGGACACCTCGTTTCTCACAAGTATATTTAAAAGCAAGGGATACCACACAGCCGAGACGCATGTTAAGCAAATATCATCCCAGTGTGCTCAGTCTTGTATAAACTGCTGGACAGGACTGGTTGCCTATAATTATGGCTGGCGTGGCTGTAAAAGAGACCTCAGTAAGTTTAAAAGAGGGTCGATTTGAG